GCACCTTGCGCGGATGCCTGGCATTTTGCATTCACCTCGCGCGGTGGGCATTATAAAAATCATTTTCAGTTTCGGAATCGGGCTCGGTCTCGGGCTCGGAGGGGCCTTAGAACGGGTCGAGTACCAAAATAAAAATAATAACAATCATTATGATTAAACGAAGCTATTCGAAAAGTCGTGTTCCAAGTTAATGAAAATGTAATTGGGCAGCCAGTGCCGGGCGCGTTTTCCTTCCTGGCTCTGGATCTTCTGGTTCTCCTGCACCTCGGCTGGTCTCTGCCGCCTGTTCGCCTGTCTGCTGGTCTTTTTCTTTCCATTTTTTATGGGCGGGGGCAGGCGCAAAAGCAGCATGGCGGCAGGAGCCGAAGCTGCAACTGCAACGGCAGGTCCACGAGCAGACAGCGACACCCCAGACCATTTCCGAGAGAGTACCGGGAACCCAACCCCAGTTCTACACAGAAAAAAAGGGGTATAAGCTGGAGATTTGATTTTAAAATTATCAAAGGGAAATTCTTATAAAAAAAGCATACGAAAATCGGAAGACTATAACAACATAAGGTTATTCTCTTTACATTTTCTTAGTTAATATAGTAATGCTCTTAATCAAATAGTCCCAGTTTAACTTAAAAACTTTTAAGAATTCAAAACCCAATCAAAAAGTTTCTTCTAATTTAATTTATTTACTTTTCTTCAAGTGCATTTCCAGTCTCAGAGGCTGCTGCATATTGCTGCCTTGCAGCGGCCGCCGCGTATCTTGTATCTGGCATTCAACTCGTTTGCAAACTATTAATTTTGTGTAACATCCTGGCATCTGCCGCATCGAGTGGCCAAAGCCTTCGGGTTGAACGGCACGATCGGCGAGAAGGGAGAGAAACCAAACTCCAGATATTTGCAATTTAGATTTGAAAATATACTTTTCGCTGGCTATATATTTTCCCGGAGTTTCCCACTTTTCGCCCGGCTTCTGTTTTAATTCTTCAGCTGTGGCCAGGTCCCATTTCTGACACGATACTTGGCGATTATTATACGAATTATAAGCAATTTTCTGACATTATTTTTCAAGCCGAAATAGCACGCCAACTTGAACTTATTTTTAAGAGCAATTATCGCAAGCAAAAGCATAAGTATATGGCTGGCAAAGTGCATAAATATAAAGCCGGCATATTGTATAAATAAATAAATAACCCACTAATTAGGGAGCGGCCCCCTCTGAATAAAAAAATGTACGGGCCGAAATGTCAACAAATTGTCAATATAAATAAAAGAGGCTGGGGCAGAGGCAGGTCTAATAGGCATTTGACATTTCGTAAGTGCCGTCTGCCAGTCATCATCAGCAGGTAGTCCTATATCTTTGCATCTGTATCCGTATCTGCTGGCTGCATCTTTTGATGATCTGCTTGGAGCCCTGCCAGCTTTGGTCTTGTCAATTAGAGGATGAATTTCGAATGCCAAGCGACATCAGAGGACTGCACGCGGTATTAACAAACGGATTTTTCTAATTGTAAAAAGCAGGTACATATTATTCTACAGGTTTTCTTGCAAATAATTAGCATCAATCGACTTTTTCTTCTGTGTACTAATCGTTCGATACTCGATGCCAGGAGCTTCTTTTGGAGAGGCCTCTTCTGGCGAAAAGTGGTTCGCAGAATTCAGCAGACAGTCTCGTTCTCTCCGCGACGAAGATGGCGTTTTGGCTGGCGTTTTTTCTTTACATTTTAAAATGGTTGCCACAGTAACAACTTGACGTGATTATATGCAATCAGCCCGGCTCCCGGCCCCTCCTTTGCCCCCCTGACTCCTGCCTGCTTCCCGCCTCATGAGCAACATGCACTCGAAATTTGCATAATTGTTAACATGATGTTGCTGTTGCTGCTGTTATTTTTACTGGACTTTAATCAGTGCCTGTTTCCGATTCTTCCCTCTAGATTACCCTTTATTATTGGCATTTGCGCTGCTTGGCACCTGCAACAACGTTTTTTAATAGCGATTCTTAGTTTGGCTGCAATTATGAGAAAGGAACTAGCACATGCCAACACACCCAGCTGAAACTCCTAATAAAGACATTTGGTGTCGAAAATTGAGTTGTGCTCTGGGACGATAACGTGCCCAGCTTAATGGTCCGGCAGGCTGTTGACTCTTGGACTTTTATGGAATGGGTGTGGTGCCAGAGCCTCGATGTACATGTATCTATATCTGTGCCTACAGTTTTTATATATATTTATTAAGTTCTAAAAACCTCTCTGTAACAACTGCTTTATCGAAAGCGGATTCTAGTAAAGTAATTACTTTTAAGCACATTTGTTGCATGTTTGACTAAAAGAAGACATCGTATATAATTACCAGGGTATGTATTTATTGGGAAGAACTGAAACAATAACCGCTTTAGTTATAGTCATACATAATTGTGTGTTCTCAATGTATCTTTTACTTAGAACCCGATTTATAGTCTGCAGCCTATTGTTATAGCTGTATCCAGTGGAGATGTAATTATATTTTAAGATATGGCTGCACATAGTTGTATAGATGGCTGCCTTTCACATTGCCCTCAACCGAATATGATTAAGAAAGTAATTAAATCTCGACGATGCATGAAAACTCAGGGAAAATGGCAAAGCCAGACGGAGATGCCCAGATCCACGAGATACATTATTTGCCGAGTGCGTCTTTTTCGTGGGCGCTGGCAAAGTATCTGCATCTGCATCTGTATCTGTATACGTTTCTGTATTTGCATCCATTTCATTCATGTCTCTTCCAGGCGAAGTTCATGTTCTTCATTACGGCACCCCGTTACCCGGCCTCCCCGCCGCAATCAATTTCTTGGGCGCTTCCACTTGCTGCAATTTGCATAACAGATACTCGCCGTTCTTGCTGTTGTTGCCCCGGCTGCCATGAGTAACAGATACATAAATAATAACAATGTGCCCCATTGATTGGAACCGAGCAGGGAACGAGTTTCCACCTTCCCCGCCCGAACACACACGCGCGCAAATCGAAATGGAAAATCAGCCAAAGTTGCTAATCAATATGTATCTGTGAGCTCGCTGCTGACTTGTTGGCAGTCTGACTATTTATAAGGCCCCCTGAGCTGCATTTCAGCGTCTTTTTAATTGGCTGACATGTTGTGATTTCGGGTTGTCAAGTGCTACTCGCTGTCGCCAGTATGGAAATGCAAAATGCCAGCCGGCATTTAAGCAATTAAGCCTTTCAACGGTCAAATTATCTAGGAACTCGGCATGGAGTGTGCCAAAACCACATTGATTGTGGCAAGATTTACATAATGTATTTCATAGATAAATTCTATTGATTTTAAGGAAGTATAAGGTTAAATTTGGTATAGTTTCTTAATATTTCCTTTACATTCTTTTAAAAAAAGTATACTTTTCCCTATTGAATCTTGTTTGAGTGGTCTTCTAGTTGATGTTAGTTTATTATTAATATATTCTTAAATTATATTTATATATTTTCAAAATAAAAACAGGTATTTGGATTGACCTTCATTGCTTTGTTTTGAAATGATTTCATATTTGTTAAAAATAAAAAGCTGCTCGGTTCTACTTCAATGAGCTAATGAGCGCTGCGTCTGATTGATGAGACACCGAGCCAAAACTTGGCAAAAAATAGTTCCCAGAACGTGAATCTAATGATTTATACGTGGACACAAAAATTTAATTATTTTTTTTGCGCTCAAAAATAATAAACGAGCTGCAAGCCAGATTGCAGCCAGGTAGATCCAAGCAAATGTCAAACTATTTGGAGCCCAATTAATCTCGCCAACTACTGCCAATAAATATGAGGAATCATTCCGATAATTCGATTATGCCGGGATCCCCAGAACGACTTCGTGAGTTGCCCTGTCAATGGGTCAGCCGCGGTGGCGGGGAGATATACGAGGGGTGGCAGAAAGAAAAATCTGTGTGCGCGCCAGAGACATGATGAAAAATCGACCAACAATTTTTCGTTCACAATTTTCCAGCCCAACAAATTTCGGCCGAAAATGCGTTCGGTTAAATTTAAATATAAACCGAGCGAGGTGCTGAGATTTATATCAAGCCACAGTATCCGTAGTATCCGCATCTCGGAGATGTATCTGCATCTGTATATATATGTACGTGTCTTCGGCGGTTTTATGAGTTATTGTGGGAGTCAGGCGGCCTTAGCTGCGGGATCGGGATCGGATCGCTTCACATTTGTTTACAATTTTCACGCGCTACGATTTTCGCGGTCGAGTTTTTCACGCAGCGCTCTCGCTGGAAACTCGGAAAATCGAAGAGCGTAAGTGCGAGGGAAATTTTGTTATTGTTTATGTATTTTGACAAGATTCCCCGCGCGCACAGTTTGCCAGACAATTTGGAGCTGAGCACACGGCAACAACCCACAGCCAAGAGGCAACTGAATATGCCCAGTTGCAACACCAAGTGTCTCGCAGCAGCGGTAATGAGTGCTGGATGAGGTATCGAAGGAGCTATCCGATGGGTCAGCGATTGAGGTGAGCTTATCCACCGAGGATGTTGATTCATGATGCTGATTTGCCAGACAATTCCTCATAAGTGGGGGTGAGTCAGTTAGGCGATTCAGCGAAGACAAACAGCCTCATTCACAAATTAATAACCCAACATGGTACATTTTATAGTTAATTAATTTTCAATCGATGATAGGTGTTTTGTAATTTAATGCCACATTAATTAAAGCAATAATCTAGAGGCAATTGGATATAATAGTTCATTGATAAAGTCTATTACTTATTGGTTTATTAAAATGCAACTATTTTTCTAGGTCTAGCTTTATATTTATTCTTTATATAGATGAAATAATTATCGTTATTGAATTAGCTTTAGATAAACTTATATTTGAATTTGTAATGAAAATAGAATATGCAATAGTGGACTCTTAAGTAATTATCTATAATTATTCAGCAAAGGTCGCTATTTTCTATCATGTTCTGCTTTTCCCCTCAAATGAACCACTTCAATATCAGTTTTTAAATCAAAATCAATACTCACTCTGTCCGAGATGCACTCGCTTCATCCAGGGATATATCTGCGGCGGATTCTTCTTGCCGTTGCCGCTATTCTGGCTGCTGCCCGCCTCATTGCCGCTGTCGCTCTCCGAGTCCGAGTCACCGCCGCCGGGACTGTGCATCGGAACGTTGACGTTCCCGGAACCCCCTGCTCCACCGGGAACGCTGTGGTTGTTGTTCAAACTGGCGGCTGCAGCGGCGGCCGCCAAGCTGCCGCCTAGGACGCCCTTGTTCAGCGACCGGGCCACGCTCTCCACCACCGAGCTGGGCGACAGCTTCGGCGATATATCCCTGGTGGACAGATCCTGCGGACTGGCCAGCGACTGGCTGTTGTTGTTGTTGTTGGCGCTGCTGTTGTTATTGTTGCTGGGCACACCGCCGCCCCCGGCTCCGCCACTGCCACCGCCGCCCGGCGTCGACGGATCGTTGGCGTACTTGCAACTGATGTTGCTCTGCTGCTGCTGCTGTTGCGGGTGTTGCTGCTGTTGCTGGGCGAGCTGCTGCTGCTGCTGGGCAACCGCCGCTGCCGCTGCATGGGCATGCTGCTGCTGCTGTTGCTGCTGCTGCTGCAGGAGCAGGCGCTGCGGTTGCAGCTGTGTGTAGTCCACCATATCGGGGTTACCCTGTCCGCCGTAGGCCGCCTGGTTGGCGTAGTGCGCTTGCGGCGTGTTGGGGTACAGGTTGGGCGTATAGGCAGCCGCCGCTGGGAAATAGTCGTTGGCTCCCGGAGTCGCCGCCCCCGCGCTGCCCTGTCCACCATTGGCTCCGCCGGTGGCCACAACGCCTCCGCTGACACCACCACCGCCACCGCCGCCACCTACATTGCCGGCGCCCGCACTGGAGTTTCCCGCTCCCGGGTGACTCTGTTGAGGGTTCATCTGCTGCGGGTAGCAGGAGGCCAGTGAGTTGACGAACTGGTACGAGGACATGGCAAAGCAGTCGGGATCCATTCTGAAGCCAGTTGTCCTAGTCGTGGGTTGGAGTCTGTAAAAGAGGGTTTGGGATAGGAATTAGAAATGTTGCAAGTTGTAGATTAACTAAGGAGTGCTTTCCCTTTTTCTTTAATTAATAAGTCATTATTTTTTTGTTAAAATAAATTTAGTATATAATTTAGATCAGTATTGCTTACGAGAAATCTCCTCATAAATATAAAGTTATCATCAATTTTCAAGAATAATTTCCATAAAATGAAGCTAGTTCTTTAAGTACAATGGCATACGAAGAAGCGAACAATGTTATGGCTTTTCATTCGCTTTTTGTTTTGAGATCTCACTTTTCGATTAGCAACATTGTATCGGAGAAGCTCCTGGGAAGGGGATTGAGTATTTGTATTTAAGTAAAGAATCTGCGGGATTCAACATGGGAGAGGCAGTCAGCAGAGGGAAGGCTCAAGCCCCTGGGGAATACAAATAAATTGCCAAATGCAGATAAGAAGGAAATATTCATAAGTATTACAAGATGATGACCAATATAAAGGCTTAATATTTGTACAGCAATTTATCAAAATAAAATATATTGATAAAAAGAATAACAAAGTTCTGGAAGAGTAACCGAGTAAGTCCGACAAGGAAGTACTTATCAAAACCCTATAGTGAAAATATCTAAAGAACCAAAGTTATTTCCCTAAAATGTTTTACTTTTAAAACCCAATATCGTTCCTCTCTCCCCTAGTGATATCCGGCTTAGTTCAAAAATACCTGCAGATAAAAGAAAATGCCTAAGAAGGGATCCGGCAAGTGGAACCCAAGTCACTGTCTCCTGATTGGTTCGTCCCCCGAAGTGTTCCTTGGGACGCTGATAATTTCACTCGGCTTTTACTTGGCTTATTATTATTATTATTACTTTTAGAACGGTAGAGTCGGTTTTTTTTGTATTATTTTCCGCTGGTGGAGAGAGTCGGGCCTGCCTAAGCATGCAATTTGAGCAGGCCGGGCCATCGAGCTGGATACTGGTATCCGCGTATAGGAACCTTTGGCCAGGAATGCCGAGGGACCGCCCACTCTTCTGGACACACTTGGCGGAAACTTCTTGCGGCTGCACTTACCGGCCATGCCGTGCCACGTCCCCTCCTGAGCTCCCATCTCCCAGTGGGATGGTGCACCATCGCAGATATTGCAGTCTTGGTCTTGGTCTTGGTCGCGGTCTTGGCATGTTTGTTCAATGGTGGAAAAACCCGTATTCTGTGCGGCGCAGATAGCAAACAAAAGCAATGACCCTCCGCTTCGAAAGGAGCTGAAGGGAAGGGAAAGGAGTCTCGAATCGCCCGAGAGCCGAAAAAGTGCAAAAAGGCAATGAGGCAAAAGAGGCCAAGCGAGGCCGCTGCACATGAACATGGCCGAAAAAACTAAAGAATAATCGAGCAGGCCACGAAGCTTTGGTAAATCGAGACTTAAATACCCTGGCAGGTATTCAAAAATGCTCTTTACAAGAATATTTTGGGGGATAAAGGCAATACTCTATAGTCCACGCATTCTTAGACAAACCAGAAAGTTTAATTTAAAGAGAGAAAAACTAGTATAATTTTCATTCGACTGACTTAAAAGCTATAGCCTAAAAATGTACTAAACTTAATTGGTAAAAATCTATCTAGTACCCTGTTAAAGGGTATCAAAATAAACAGCAAAACATCAGAGCACCCAGAGAACTTGGGCCAAAAACAATGCAGCCAACTCCATGCCCCTCACCGCCCGTGCCTGCCCTTTTTGTGGCTTGAAACCAATAATTTTGATTCAGTGGGCAATTTAACCCTTTAGCATGTTGGCCAAATGAAAGGAGCTCTCAACTTGGGCTTAAATTAAAACGCCGTACGCCATTCGAAACTGGCCGAGAACCGAGAACCCAAGGAGCGAATGCTCAGCTCTGGACAGAGATTTATTTGATGAGCAGTGTTCTCGGGGAAAACACAGCGCAAAAAATAAAATTTAAAGGAAATATTGTAAGCTTGCCTTCAGCTTTCTTCCTCTCACTCCGATCGCCTCCGATTATAGGCTTTAAGGCCGTGGTAACGGTGCTTTGGATAAACCACCTCTTGATCCGGCAATATGGGAATTATAGTTGTAGACAAGCGCCCGTGTTTAAGCCGAACAAGGCCGAAATCAGCGAAATTATAGGATCAGCGTCTCTGGCTGACTTTGAACCTTTGACTGGCAGATATTTGAACAACCTAAGGTCGAATCGATTTGGGGGCAAATCGAATAGAAGCGATGAAAATTGATTGGGTGAAAAACAACAGCTTTACGATGGAAAAAGGCAACTATGAGGGGTTATTGAAGTTAGTTAACTAAAGTACTAGAAATTGATATAAGAAACACCAAAAAGCAGCGATTAAATAGTAATTCAAATGAAAAATTATAGCTCTTTGACTTCTGTGCACTCAACAAACTATTTTCTCTACAGTTGCAGTTCTGAAAAACAAACTCTTCGTTTCCCGATCACTTAAGGGCGAATTAAAAATTCCTAATAACCCGAAGATGGGGAGCAGCCAAAGCCATAAATTAAACGAATTTTCAAAATTGTTTTCCAAATAGTTTGAGACGGCGCTGAGCCGACAAGCGGTTCAATTGGTGTTAATTAAATCCATGAATAATAAAAACGCCAAGCGAATTTTGCGGGCAGGAGTCGGGGAAATCGTTAAAGAAAAGAGAGCGGGAGGGACAGACGCTGTCTTAGATTGGCGATCGTCGGCCGAGCTCATAAGAAAGTCATAAATTATGGCAATTCTTTCGGGCTCAGTGACATTTTGGACTCGATCGAGGGAGCAAACAGCCGAGTTTTCCCTTTGTTCCTCCTCTATTATATAAACAATTCCAATGTGCCTTCGAATGGGAGTGAAATTTCTTTCTGGTGCCCCGATACTTAAACCGCAGAACGAATTTCCCTCTCCCAGAAACGTCCTTTTCCGTCTCACACGGCCACAGGTAGGATCTCAGCTCTTGGACACTAAACAGTAGACAGGGGAGGGCAGGGGTCGGGGCGAGAGTAAATAAACACCAATTGAGTTGCACATGCGTCTGTCGATGCCATAAATCAATTTGGGGAAATATTCCGGGGCGACAGCTGAAAAGGGTTTTCCTTCTGGACGCTGACGTTACATTCTAAGAGGGTCGCGGAGTTTGAGGGTACTTTGCCCGGGGGCAGGAGCTGAGCATCTGCGCTATTAAGATGATTAACTTTTGCATAATCGATAATTAACCTTTTTTGGGAGAAGTTTTTAGATTTGCATATAAGCAAAGAAGTGGGTTTTTCAATTCCTCTCTGACATTTTTGCTTAGGTTACAAGTAGGGTTCAGTTTAGATACGATTTATATTTTATATTTGCATATTTTAAAACTACTTGGATTGCTTTTATACATATCTAGTAAATCTAAAAATATAATTAAAGGTTTTATAGTCACAAAATATGTTATTATTTAATATCTAAAAATGTAAGGAGTATTTTTCCTGCATAATAAACCTTTAACTTATGCAAAACTTTAAGGTCTTGTACGACTGAATAAATTTAGACATCTCCACAGATTAATTTAAAATATACCGATGCCAGACCTAGCATAACCCGTTTCCCATCTGCCACCTTCTAAGCCACTCCATTGAGAGGGAACTGTCCTCCATTTCGGAGCACTCCATCATCGTCATCATCTACGTCATCGTCTGCTCTGCCAAGGGGCCACCATCTTAATTATGAGACGGACAAAACACCCAAAGCAGTTACTTCGCCTACGAATGTCGCCCGTTTGGCCGTTTGTCGTCACCATTACGGATTTGTGCCCCAAACGAGCCGGGCCATAAATCATAATTTTTAATATTTGTTGTCAACAGGGGCGTAGCCTGAGCCTGTGTGCATGTAAACACGCCGCTCCAGAACCTACGGAACCTCCAGAACGAGCTGCGGTACGCACGAGTTCGGCTCACACTCTCAACAACAATTCAAAAAAAAAAAAAAAAAAGAAAACATAACACAGAAAAAATAAAGATAAATAAAAGGTATTTGCGCACGCGCAGTCACACTCATTGGCGAAGCTTGTCGTCCCGCTCACTCGGCCTTCCGGAGGCATGGGCGCAACAGAGAGGGCCAGAGACTGTGTGCGGACCCATTAAAAAGTCATAAAAATTTGTAAGCACCTCATAAAAATAGTCATAAATATTATTCCTCTTCATCTTTTTGTGTATCTCCCCCCACTCCCGACTCCCGATCCGTGCAACCCTCGTCACAGTTGCCGTTTGCGGTTTGTTTGTTTGTCATGGCACTCATAATTTTTATGAGTTCTCTCCAATTGTTTTCCCAACTCGAAGCCAATCATCGATCCCGATCCTCCTCACTGCAAGCAGCCATTAGCGGTCGAGCAGTGTGGTCTGTCATCTCGTCTTGGCCCTCATAATTTACGATCTGTTGCGCAATTGTCGAGTCGGAATTATTGTCACAGAGGTCCTGTTTCTGTCCAAGGACATCTCAATTGTGTAATATGTCATGGTTTTTGGCTACTGTCCGAGGATATTCCTCGTGTAACTTGATTGCGGTTCCTGGAGGTGTAAGATTAGGATTATTATAAAAAAATCTTTAAAATTTAATTGTATAAATTGTACATTTGGAAATCCTTCTGTTGCCTTTATTATTAAAGAGTTGTCTTCTTTTTAACTAGACTAAATTATCTAATTTGTCTTTGCCTTAGGTTTAATTTATAATTTCTAATAAATATTCATTTAACCTTGCATTTACTGCAGCTTAAGCAGTAACTTTTGCTGCCTGTGAAATTCAACTATTGTTGATTTTATTTTCCTTACTCTAGTCTAGTATTTATTGTGCACATATTTCTTTTCTGGACAAAACTGTCTGCCATTTTGGCCAATAGATCAACGACTTTAGCACAAATTTTCAGCTTGCGTGTTTGCGATTTTGATTTATAAGTACGAGCAAGTAGAGTTGAAACATCAAGGGCTGGGAGGGAAAGCCAGGGTTAGGACATGATGAATGTCTCCGTCGGGCGCAGGCATAATTTACTATTTCAGTCAGGCTGCAAAAGACACTCGAACCTCGGACTTTGGACCTCAGACCTACTCCCGCCAATTAGCTGGGAACTGGGAACTGAGAACTGAGATATGGGAATGGCACTGGGTCCGCAAGTGTCTCTCTGTTGTGCCCACATTATGCAACCGGGGCAGCCAGCTCTTTGATCTTGGCCCACCCTCGGCGAATAAGCAAATGAAAGTGACCTACATCAAGTGGAATTTCTTCCACTTACCGCACATATGGGAGGCAATGCCGGGGATGCAGAATATAGGACCAGGAGCAGCGTCTTGGCGAACTTCCCGCTCCAGACGTTGCGCACCAGTGCGTCTGGCTGCCGAGTTGGTGGCTTCTTCTCTTCGTTTTACATAATTTCAGGTTCGCCCCATGGCGTCTTGGCCAGCATGAGTCCGCTCCCCGGACAGGCCAAGCCTACTACTATATGCTCGGTTTCTTCATCCCTACACGGCGGAGTACATAGGGCTATGTGCCTGGATTAGCCTTCTGCGAGTGGTATGTATATGAGGCGCTTGTTAGGCATTTTTCATTTGCTGTGACATTTCGCCTTTGTGCCTCTTAATTATTTCAAAAGCGGCTGCATTTCGTTTTAATGAAGTGAAAATTCCTTGTGTTGATATCGCACACGCAACCCAATGAAAAATTACTAAAACACACAACGAAAGGCAGAAACAAAGGCCAAATATAGGGAAAATACAAAGTCGTTTTGGGGTTTGGTTTCGGAAAATATATATACAACCTCTCCTTATTGATTTATTAAGATGATATTTCTTGGTTTCGACTAAGATAGGAGTTTCTTACGATTTATAAGGAGTTAGAAAAGTAAGCAGTAGATTTTAATTTCATAAGGAAAAGTATTTTCTTTAGTTTTTATGTTTAAACAAATAATTCAATAATAAATTATTATAATACACAAAATATTCCAACACCAAATTTATGAATAATATATTATTTAGTGGCGAGTATACCTATTTTTTTAGAGTTGATTTGTTTGAAATTATTGATTTAATCGTTGAAGCAAATTATATATTTAAATATTTATGATTCAAGCTAGTTGACAAGGAATAACAGAGAATCAAAATATGTATTTTAATTTCCAGTTATCAGTTAAATCCAATCTTGTGATTATTATTCTAAAGATACTATCTCATTTGAGTTGTCTTAGCTTTTGACCTAGAAAAATTTAAGTTTCGGTGAAATTAATATACTCAATCTGCCACAGGAAAAACTTTTTCCAACACAAATAAAAAATCACAGTAAAATAAAAAACAAAAATTAAATCAAAACAAATAGATCCCAAATTCGAATCATATTTTTCAGCAATCTAAACTCAATTTCCTGCCTCGCAACCCGATTTACTCACAATTTCTGTTAGCCGTCGGCGTTTGGCATTCACCTACGAACGAGTGGGTTCGGTTTTGTTTGCTTGGTTATTCACTGCACAATCACCGATTTCACTTGTCCGAGACTTGGTTTTTCATTAGAGAGCGGAAATCTCGATGACCTGGGGACAGTTCCGGATATCTGCGGAGTTAATCCGCTGGCATCCTGCAGCGGCAAATTGGCTTGGCTCTGGCCGGGGGTACCTGCACTCGAGAGTTTATTCGAATGCTTTTAAGCGGTAATTGGACGGCTTTTGGATATCACACACGCACTGGCACAATTTGTCACAGACCCAGATGCAGATGCAGATGCGATCGCGATAAGTATCTGCAGGATGGCTGAGAAGTATCTGCACGGATTTCACGCCGAATTTATGACTGTCCATCAACGACGGCATCGATGCAGGCACATTCGCAGGCACTGGCACTTTGCTGGCCATCCATCTTACGCTGTTATCGAACAGTATCGCAGTATCTGAGTGTCTTAGTATCTGTATCTCTGTGTTCGCGCGGCACAGCTGTGCGTTGGATTGTTTTTATTTTTTTAGTTTCTGTTTTAGTTGGGTGTTTTTACTTATTGCTGTATATATTCCGGTGTATCCGCGGATACGTGCTCGAAGCGCCAATGTCTCACTTTGACTGCTCGGGCATAATTCAAATATCTGAGCATCAATAAAAAACACACACAACACAGCACACACACACTGACGCGCCGCCTCACTCACTCACACTCCCCACGCGGCGTCCAATTGTATCTGCGAGTACGAGCAAGTAGGGCTATATATCTTTCGGATACCAAGTGCATCGCGTAAAAAGAGCAAGGCGAGTAATTCGAATAGCGAGCGAGGGAGACAGCAACACTCCGCTCTCCGTCGCCATCGCCAGCGCCATCTCGCTCGCTCGGCTACCTTTGCGGACGCGGAGAACGTTTTGGTATCAACCGCCAAACCAGAAATTCGTAGCCGCAAATTGTATCTCACGGATACCGTGTGTGTGAGAGCGTCCGTGTGCGTGTGAGTTCGAAAGAGCGCCTGTTCGACAAGCAGCACTCTCCTAGTTTCGAACCCATGTTCTTATTGCTCTCACTCGGCAGATCTTCGCCAGCAAGTTCGAAAACACATTTTCGAACTTTGGCTCACGCAGAATTCCTATTGCTCACACCGACACTGTCCGTGTGAGATCGATTCGAATTCCGAAGGGAAACCATAAACATTCGAACTTCAAAGTTTTGGCCATAACAGAAAGCTGGATTTCATGGGAAAGGCAGGGATTTGTTTTTTTGGGGCGCTTTCGAAAAGGGAGAGATTATCGGAGCAACCTCTGGAGGTGTCGAATATGACAGCGTTTTTTATCATGATTAAAAACCAGCTTAGTTTTTTAATGCCTTACATAATCTTTGAAGAAGTATACATTAAATTAATATCTTATATTTTATGGGAAAATTTATATTAAGTACTTTTTAGGGAATAGTAGAAAAAACCAAAGAAAACACAATTCAAATTTAAAAAATTACGTAGACAAGAAAAAGCTAACCAACTATACATTTGCCCTAAAATTTTATATGAAATCTTTAATTATATATAAATTAATAATATAAATTAGTAACTTTTAGACTTATCTGATCTGATGTCAAGAATAACTGAATTAATATATCCAAAATATCCTTATTAACTTGGGTGTATTTATTGTTTAATTTTAAAATTCATAAAAGAATTCAATGAAATTCACTGAGATGCTCCAAGTAATGTATTCCTGAATCTAAATATTCACTCTCTTTCAAATCTTTATAAGGATTTACTCCATATCAGACCCAGGTTTTTATCTTACCAATAAATTGAAGATGTAAGAAATCCAATAGCAGGTTCCTAATTAGCAGGAGCTTTTGAATAAGTTTATTTTTTGTTTGTTTCGGGCAGCACTTCACTGGTTAATATTTCGTATTTTCATGTGAATTGTATTTGCTTTGAGCAGCGCACTTGAGATATCTTAGTTATTCCAGACTTTGAGCACTTTTAGATATTTTAAAATATATATTTTTTTATGAAGGAATTTGCATTCCTCTTCCGTGAAGAGGAGCTATTCGTTGGAATATCCGCTATAAGGAGACCATTGCAATAGCAATTGCAGCTTGCCGACGCCAAAAACCTTTACACTTTTTGTCTTCGAGCGAAAACTTCGCGGACGTATCTTTGTATCTTGTATCTGAGAGTGTTCAGTATTTTTTTGGCAGGAGACCGAGCGCGCAGCTTGGCGACTGAAGTGCGCCACGTTCGAATCACGTTTGAGCCACAAACAGCAACAAAGCGACCCTTCAGTGCGCCGTGTGCGCTGGTGTGCGTTTCGAACACTGTAAATCATCCGCCGGCTCGAGCAGTGGGTGCGAGTGAGAGCCCGGCCCGTGCGCATTTTCGAAACGCATGGCATCCCTCTCACACGCCCGGCTGGCTCCGCCCCGCGCCGTGATTTATGCTAAGAGGGTGCCGTGGCCACGGGCCTATGGCGCTGCAGCTCCAGAGCTCTACCGCTCCACCGGAAAATGGGGAAATCCTCGGAGCAACGGCAACCGGGAGCAGTGAAAAGCGAGACAAAACAGGTAGTTTGCAGGCACCGGCAGCTCCTCGTTCCTCGCTCCGCGCTCCTTGCTCTGCGCTCCAGATTAGGCCGAAATCATCCCAGATTAGGCGACGCCACCCCGCCGCACGTCCCCAACTTTATTTGTATTCAATCGGGGCGCTCTTCCGCTAAATCACCGGCACATTATTATTTCGCATTACTATTTTATAAGCGTTTCGCCAGCGCGTTCATTTCCATTTTTATTGGCCGCCTGCGAAAATGCAAAATCTCCTGCTAAAGTTATTCCTTCTTTAAAACGAGCTCGTTGGCAGTTGTCTCCGAGCTTAAATTTATTGGCCCCGGTCTCGGTCTTCCCCATCTCCGTCTCGGTTTCTGTTTCTGTTTTGGGACTCGGACTCGGATTCGGATTTGGATTCGGATCGGGTTCATTTGGTGCCAAGCCAAGTTCAAGTTCTTATGATTCATTCGCCTTTCGGGGCTTAACGATTTTGATTTGTTTGGCTAAATGCCTTAATTAAAAGTCGATTTCATATTTGCTACCAACATTCCAGCTTCACATTCAGAGCTGAACAAATGCTGTTTGATTTCGGCGACATTTGAATGTGAATTCGATTTATTAGTTTGTTTTGATTTTTTTTAAGGTTGATTAGCTATTTTTATCAGCGCTTTGTAGAGACACACCCAATGTGGTTTTGTTTATTTTCAGAAATAAAACGTTAGTGGGTTGGCCTATCGAACAATTAATCAAAATTATGCATGATTTGCATACTGTTTTATTTATAAACATTCAAAAGTGAAAAGGCTATGAGCTACCGAAGTCTCAGGTTTCATTCAGAGGAAAAAGTACACTAATTTCCCTGGATCTGTAAACAACTTTTAAAAATAGTAGTTTAGAAATAAATATTCACAAAAACTGTTTTAATTAGAAAAAATATTTATAATACTTTTAGATACAAGAGAAACAAGCTTTAAAGGAAAGGCAATTCAAAAATGTATAAATTAAACAATTAACAACAATGAATTCCTTTGTTAAATATATTATTTTTCAATAAACTTCAAGATAGAATAACACCTCGTTTGGTATAAGAAACTTAGGAGTCTTCCCTTTAGCTAAAAACTCAATTGATTCTCCTTATTCTTGTTTCGATCCTTAGAAAAAAAAACCCACATTATAATGCGCTCAACTTTCCTCATCCAAAGAGCCCGCACATCATCCTCCCAAATGAAATGAAAATATGTAAAAAGGAGGAAAAAAAACTGAAAATAAATGAAAAACTAAAAAAAGAAATCATAAGAGAGACGCCTGCGTGTACTTCTGTAATTGGAGTTGATGTTGGCGATGCCAGCGGGCAGTCAGAGCCAGACTCCCAGAAACCCATCCTCGCGGGTCCGGAATCCAGATCTCACTCCAATCCACTCCACTCCACTCCATCCCAGATCCATAGAGGGTCCCCTCGGCAGCATCCAACATGTTGCAGTCGATTTTTCATCATCGCTCGCATGTTGCTCCCTGCGATGGTGCAGTTGTTGCCGCGGACACACACTCGCTCAGTTTTTAATATGAAACAATCAGCAGCATTTGTAGTTTGTTTTTAGTTAACAAAAACAGCGCTTAACGCGAAATAGGAATTTTCAAATTAAATGTGGGCATGGGACTGCACAGAGAGAAAATGGTATGAGATGTATAATTTTGTATAAGTTAAAACTAAGATGTATAAAGATACTTTACTACATGTGCCCTCTTATATATTTATACAGATGAATCTTTAATAGGGGCTCAATACCGTATGGTTCTTCTAAATAAAACCTATATGTCAACAGTCTTTCTCCGTGCACTAACGAAACTGCAACTGCAACAGTTTCCAATTAAACGATCCGGAGAAAAATGGATACCCCTCCTCCGGACCAAGCTCACGACAATTCGTTAATACCTTGCCATTTGAGTTCTTCACGCATCCGTAATGGAAATGGGGGTTTTTTCAGAATAGATCGGAGGACGGGTAGTCCGTGTCTACGAGGAGTTGATAAATACCCTCCATTTGGGGCTAGCACAAGTCGGTGTTAGTCGGGATATAAGCGGTATCTGGGACAGAGGGAGCACTACTCCTGCAGGCGGCGATGCATTGAGAGATGCCCTTACATTAAAGGCCGATTTAAATTAATTTCCATTCCCTGCTTTTTGGCAGCTACCAGTTTTCAGTTTTCAGTCCTCAGTCGCCAGTCTTCAGGCTTTCCTGTCCTCGGAGCCTCAGTGTCAGTGTCAGTCCATTCACATTTGATTATGACAAACGTGGCTCAGCTGTCAGACATGAGCTACTTAGTTGAACAAGATGGCTGCCGAGGGAGGAGTACGGGGTCCTGATACTGGGTGAAGTGCTTCCACGGGGGCTGGAGGTCATTAGGAGAAGACAACAGCTGAGCTTAAGCGATGAGCTCGGGGCAGGAGACTTGCCTGCTGCTGGAAAGGAGCTGGCACAGGGAACGAGACTTTAAGTAGGGTAAAAACAGGCAGTTGAGACCAAGATTAGCATACTTGCATGGAGGAGATGAATACTAAAGATAAATTCCACAAAATATTCCCAATTTTCTATCATATTTTACTCCAATTTTTATATTTAAATATTCTGTTTAAATACAAAATCCAAATCAACCACAAACTTGAAACAAAAAACTGTGCAAATAATGTACCATCCGGGCAAACGCCATTTTGATTGAATTTTTATACGCATACACACACACACTTTTATTCGCCGAAAGTATGTGTACGCAAGGACCATAAGGACACATTTGCCAGCCAGCCAGATAACGAAGCTTTTTTCTGCCAGCGAAGAGCTTTAACTGTATATTGCTCTCGCTTTGGCCGCAGCTGCTGTAGGAAGAGATGGTTTTTTTTTTTTTGGGAGGAGGAAGAGGTCCTGCGAGGACGCGGGGAGTGGGAACTGGGGACTGTTGCGCATGTCCTTAGCCACAAGCTGCGTACTTATGCGATGATTAATTCGCCAGGACAGCGGCGAAAGTTGCTACGGATCTATGAGATACTTTAAAGTGCCTTTAAAGTGAGTGTGAAAATTTTTTGGGAAAATTTAAAAATGGCCGCCGCAGGATAACAGGCAGCTGCTTTTGCCA